TGCCTTTTTTTCTTAACAATTGTCCTTTTAAGAAAAGAAGTGGTGCCTGCTTTTCAGAATTTTGCACATGTATCGCCCTGAGAAGCACCATATATTGGCCCTTTGTGTGCATAATCGTCGGTTTTGAACAGCGCCCCCTTCGATAGATGGCACGGGGGGGGGGGGGGCGAGGTGGGGTGGGGTGGGTTTGGAACCATCTATCGATGGGGGCGCTGTTCAAAACCGACAATTATGCACACAAATTAAGGGCCAATATACGGTGCTTTTCAGGGCGATGTATGTTCAAAATTCTGAAAAAGGCACCAAAAAACCGTGACGGCAGATGCCACAAAATAGGACACCAATTCTTTTTTGAAAAGGGCACTTGTTCAGAAAAAAGGGCACTTCGTCAAAAAAGGGCACTCTTCACAAATTATTGGGGGGGGGGGTAAATACCCCCTTACCCCCCGCTGGCTACGCCTATGTTTGTCCCCATTTTTTTTTTTTTATCACGCGACCTACAAAAAAAAAGAATATAATGTGCTTTCATGGTTAGTTTATCTTTTTAGCTCAGCACGTAGCTCCCCTTGACCCCACACGGTGAGTTTTTCGCCTCGCGAGGCGAAAGAAATCAAACAGGCGAGATATTTGCCTCACGGCCTCGCGAGGCAGAAAACTCAGCAAGACTTTACCGCACACAGGGAAACTTTGTGAGCTAGGTGCTGAGCAAACGGCCTCGAATGACTTTTTGCTCAGCACGTATAGCTCTCTTGTGCGGTGGCCGTGGGCTTTTAGCTGGGCAAAAATATTTGACGTTAATCTTCAGTGATCAAAGTTTGAGATTGACTTTTCCGATCGCCTTTGTTAGTTCTTGTCATTTCAGTTCGTTTAGCTGCTGTGCCTTTTGTATTGCAAGGACGGGCTCCCAAACACTTCATTTGAGCCTCCTAAACAACCTAAATACTTATCGTAAAATGGATTCAAATTCCAAAGTTGCTCAAGTCTATTATATTGCTTGGAAGCATGTCCCGTTTAAATGAATTTACAACCCATTAAAAAAACAACGGCCTTCATTAGACCTTTTAAAAGCGCGTGAGTGAAAAGAAATTCGGTAGTTACAGCAAGGTACAGTTATTGTAATTTCCCATGTAATGTAATTTAACATCGCTTTTCAGCCATTTTTCCCCTGGCGAATTGTTGCCATGGCCTTCAAGTTCAAACCCCTGGCTTTTATCTTAACCATCATACCCGTTGCTGTATTAAAGGGAAGATACAACATTTGCAAACATCCAAAAATGAAATGATCAAATTATCTCGAAATACCTTACTGGATTGTTAAGGAAGGACAGTCTGAAGCATCCTGTAAACTCGTGGCTCCTGGTGTGCTGACATTTTCAAGAAAAACTGTATTTTTCCAACGCTGGTCGGCCGACCAGCGTTGGAGAAAACTTTTTAATATTTAGTTATTCCGCATTTTCTTTGCAGTTGATTACACACCTACACACCTACAAGCCAGCTAGACCGATTCTCTGAACTTACAATTCCCCAAAGTCTATAAATTGCTCCGTTTCATCTTAAGTGGAGTCAGGGAATCAGACTTCAAGAACATGATTGGTTTTCTTGGTTTTCCCAGCATCTACAACCCCAAAACGTGAAACAAGTCAGTTTAACAATATTTGCTATAACATTCTAATCATCCAAATCCATTTATTTCTGAAAATTGCAGCAAAAGCAAATGTTGTACATTCCCATTAAACTAGTGCGCGGATATAGCGCAGAAGACTGTCTATTCGAGTCGGTTATGATTTGGTTGAAGTGAACAGTTTCTGACATCATGACAGCGGCCTGACAAACATGCTGGCCCGTGCGCAGTTGATGCTCGCTAAATAAACCTCCGGGGAGGAGCTACAGCTTTTAGGCCTACATGATGCACAGTGAATTTACGTGGAGGTAATTACATTGTAAATGTCAAAAGCCGCTTCGTGACATGATAGTGTTCCAGGTATGAACAAGACGTGTATAAAACACCAATGCAGCGGCTCGACGTACCACCGTGTTAGGCACGTTTTTCATCCCGGCGCTACCGGATTTAAGAGTATACAACTTCAGTGTAAGGGGTCGTCGAGACACACGAAAAATGGAGACTTTTGCACCTATTAGCAACGGTACTGATACGATTTCGACTGATGCGGAGAATGATTCCGTAACTTCGTTGATATTTCAGGTGGTATGTACGTTCGCCATGACTGTTTTGGGTGTTCCCGGTAACTGCCTCATCTTACGTGTGTACCACGCCAAGCGTCGCCAGACGACCACTCACATCTTCATCATGGCGCTGGCCTGGGCCGATATCTTGGCATGCTTACTGTCCATACTCACGGCGGCTTCGCAGGTCATGATGCTGGCCGGGACACCGATTCCTCGAGCTGTGGACAACGCGATCGTCTACATCAAAGCCGTTCCGCTTACCGTTTCGCTTTTTATCACGGTCATGATCGCCATCGATCGTTACGACTGCACGTGCCGATCTCTTCGACGCGTCCTAAACCAGAGGCGGGCCAAGATGGCAGTACTATGTTCCCTGGTCTTCTCCGTCTTATTTAGCATCCCCTTTGTCCTGGGCTATGTCTATCCCTACAACGTGGTGATCCAGAAAACGGGGATTGCAACCCAGTACCTAAGTTTCGTCATGGCGGTCAGCTCAGTGACATTTTGTTATGGCAACGTGTACTGGAAAATCCGCCAACACGTTCGAGTTGGAGTAACCGAAAGTACGGCCACAAAGGCGCCTCCTTCGAACAGTACCAGCGAAACCATGTCCGCAGCGATTGTTCTCCGGACACAGACGGTAAATGTAGCCGACCGTAGTCTGCTTGGAGAGAGCAGCGGTGGAGCAGCCTCATCATCTGCACCGGCACTTGACGCCTGGCAACCCCGAGAGACCGCGGACGCAGCAGACACGCCTCGTCGAGTACCACCAGGGCGTCAATTGAAAGGGGGACGCAGCTTGAACGCCAACCTGCAGCGGAAGACCACAAGAATGCTCTTCATCACCAGTGTGGTGTTCCTGCTGACCTGGCTGCCATATTGGATCTATTTGGCAGTCTATATGGCGGCTCTGTCGGGCGCACAGATAGACCCCGCGGTTTTCAATGTGTTCCTTTATCTCATATACACAGTGTATGTCAATAACGTCGTTAACCCGTTCATTTACGGCCTCGCTAACAGCCGATTCCGGAAAGATTGTCTGGACGTAATTCGCAAGCTGAAACGGTGTTGAGTTTTGCTTAACTTTGAGGATTGTATTTATTATCTGCAAGGTAATGTACAACAATGTAACTGAATTACTTTCAAATGTTAGTTATTGTCGAACATCTAATAAGCCCCCCCCCAATCATCAGATATCAACACATTACATACATTGGCCTAAAACATGACGCCGAGATTGCATACCAGAGGCACATGTGCTTGGCATTCACGCCTGGCTATATTGGGTTATAATTTATGTTAAATTCAACCCAAAGTTGAAGTCATACAAGACCAAATTAAATTTGGTCTTGAATGACCACACGTTTTGGTTGAATTGAGCAGAAATTCTAACCCAAACAATTATTGGTTATAGAACAACCCACGTTTGGGTAGTTGCAGTGTTCACCCTTTCTTTTGTAAAATTAACCCAGGCAATTTTTCAGTGAACCATTAATTCTTTTTAAAACAAAATTGTTTAATTATTTTAAGTTGATTTAATATATTAATAAATAATTTGTGTACCAACAACGTTAATCAGTTGTATCTGTTTTAATTTAATTTATTAAATATGTTTGTTGAGAACACCGACAAGATTGCCTCAGGATAATGTTTCACATGCATGTGCACATTGCTGTTTATGACATTCTGGTGGGAAACAATCACCTAAAAATTCTACTGCGGACTAATGAAAAGGCCCGCGGGCTATAGGCTGGTTCACTAGTCCGGCTGGCTAGTCGCTAGGTCTGGTCAAGGCCTGCCTTCATTCGACTTTTTAAAAGCGCGTGAGTGTACAGAAAATAGGTTTACAGCACGGCACAGTTCTTATCAATTCCGATTTACATCGCTGTTCCGTATTTCCCCTGACGAACTGCTGGCATGGCCTTCAAACCCCTGCTTTTCTTGTTACTATCAGACCCATTTCTGTATCAGACTAGTACGGGAGTTTAGCGCAGTTAAGACAAGGACGTCAATCGCTTCTCAAAAGTGCGTGTATAAGCGTGTGTGTGTAGGTGGGCCTTGATGAGCTCTAATGCGATTGCGAAGTGCGAATCCCTGACGGCGTAGGGTCCGGCAGGCCCCGAAAATTGTGTAGATTCTAGACGCTCTGTCGTGCAACCTGAGGCAATTTCTGACCACTTAAACCAATGTTTATGAGCGAAAGATCATCTCTTAAACATCATTTTCAAGTTTGAGTCATTTAATCAGCCACTCTGAGCTCTATAGTCATCATAGTAGACTACATGTTTTATCTTCAGGCCGACAAATTATTGTAGGGGGGCAAACGATATGATATCCCTCCCCGTCCCCCACTGACTGACGCTCATGATATAAGATGACTGGTTGGTTGTAGCTTTGTTGAAGTGAAGATTTTCAATTAAATCTTACATGAATGACAGCGGACTGTACAGACATCGCACGTGCACAGTTGGCTCTCGTAAAATGAAATAAACTTCGCGCTGGCAACGTTTACGTGATGTGCATTAAAACCACTCAGAAAGAATCAAATGGCGACCCAATTATTGATTGAATTTGCGTGAATTTGTGTGAAGGAAATTACGTGTAAATGTCAAAAGCCATTCCGTGACAGCGCTTAATTTGCAGCAAAATGTCTTTCAGGTACGAATAAGGCGTGTATAAAACACCTAACTAGGCGGGTCGTCCACTAATTAGGCACGTGAATCCGCGCTGTTTCCATCGCTGAAGTATTAAGAGACAACAGATTTAAGGGTGTATATAAACCTTTTACGGGAGTTGCCGAGACAAACGTAAAAATGAAGACTCTTGCACCTTATAGCAACGGTACTGATACGATTGATGCGGAGAATGATTCCGTGGACAATGGTGATACTTTCATGATATTTGAGGTGGTGTGTACGTTCGCCATGACTGTTTTGGGTGTTCCCGGTAACTGCCTCATCTTACGTGTGTATCACTCCAAGCGTCGCCGGACGACCACCCACATCTTCATCATGGCGCTTGCCTGGGCCGATCTCTTGTCATGCTTAGTGTCCACACTCACGGCGGCTTCGCAGGTCATGATGCTGGCCGGGACACCGATGCCTGAAGCTTTGAATAACGCGATCGTGTACATCAGAGCCGTTCCGCTTACCGTTTCGCTTTTTATCACGGTCATGATCGCCATCGATCGTTACGACTGCACGTGCCGATCTCTTCGACGCGTCCTAAACCAGAGACGGGCCAAGATGGCAGTACTATGTTCCCTGGTCTTCTCCGTCTTAATTAGCATCCCTTTTTTCCTGGGTTATGTCTATCCCAACAGCTTGGTTATCAAGAAAACGAGGATTGTAACCCAATACCTAAGTTTCTTCATGGCGGTCAGCTCAGTGACATTTTGTTATGGCAACGTGTACTGGAAAATCCGCCAACACGTTCGAGTTGGAGTAACCGAAAGTACGGCCACAAAGGCGCCTCCTTCGAACAGTACCAGCGAAACCATGTCCGCAGCGATTGTTCTCCGGACACAGACGGTAAATGTAGCCGACCGTAGTCTGCTTGGAGAGAGCAGCGGTGGAGCGGCCTCATCGGCACCGGCACTTGACGCCTGGCAACCCCGAGAGACCGCGGAAGCAGCAGACACGCCTCGTCGAGTACCACCAGGGCGTCAATTGGAAGGGGGACGCAGCTTGAACGCCAACCTGCAGCGTAAGACCACAAGAATGCTCTTCATCACCAGTGTGGTGTTCCTGCTGACCTGGCTGCCGTATTGGATCTATTTGGCAGTCTATATGGCGGCTCTGTCGGGCGCACAGATAGACCCCGCGGTATTCAATGTGTTCCTTTATCTCATATACACAGTGTACGTCAATAACGTCGTTAACCCGTTCATTTACGGCCTCGCTAACAGCCGATTCCGGAAAGATTGTCTGGACGTAATTCGCAAGCTGAAACGGTGTTGAGTTTTGCTTAACTTTGAGGATTGTATTTATTATCTGCAAGGTAATGTAGAACAGTGTAACTGAATTACTGTCAAATTTTAGTTATTGTCGAACATCTAATAAGCCCCCCCCCCCATCATCAGATATCAACACATTACTTATACATTGGCCTAAAACATGACGCCGAGAAAAACCCTGTGTTCAACAGATTGCATACCAGAGGCACGCTTAAAGGGAAAATACAACATTTGCAAACATCAAAAAATAAAACTACCATATCATTTTGAAATACCTTGCTGGACTGTTAGGGAATGACAGTGTAAAGCATCCTGTAAAATCATGACACCTGGTATACTGTCATTTTCAAGAAAAGTGGTATTTTTGTATCAATTTCCAACGCTGATCGGCCGATCAGCGTTGGAAACAACTGGCTTTTTTTCCAAATACTGGCCCCAATTGACCATCGCACTTGTTTGCAATCGATTACAAACCTATGAACGGGTACGAGCCAGCTAGACTGGTTCCCTGACCTTACAATTCCCCAATGTATGTAAACTGCTCTGTTTCTTCTTATGTGGAGTCAGGGAACCAGACTACAGGAAAATGATCGTTTTTCTTGGTTTTTATAGCATTTTCAAACCCAAAACCTCAAAAAAGTCAGTGTAACTATATTTGCTATATATTTCCAACCCCTTAATTCCATCCATTTCTGAAAATTACAGCAAAAGCAAATGATGTATATTCCCTTTAACGCCGAACATGGTACATGTGCTTGGCGTTCACGCCTGGCTACATAACAAGAGTAAATAAAGGGCTGTCTGTCTGTCTGTCTGTCTGTCGGTGGGGCTGCTTGTCTTTCTGTCTGTCTGTCCCCAAAATTGACCAAAATACGGTTTTCCATATGTGCCATCGCGGGGTTGCATTTTTCGCCAGCGCTCATTATGCTTTGTGCAATCGCACTTTGTTATGCTTTCATGTACCTTTACAAAATGCAGTGCCAGTGTTTTATCGTTCTTCTTAATACGCAAGCCATAACATAGTCTGGTTCCCTACGGTCCCCATTGTCCATTGGACTTCAAATATGGGGACAGTTAGCTAGCGTTGAATCTTGCATACATATGCAACTGATATGCATGACGTGTACAGGTCTGAATCCCGCCTTTGGAATTAAAATCACAACGGTAACGTTTGCCCGAGCGTGAGTGAGCTATGGATGAGATCCCTGGTTCGAATCCACATCGTCGCTGCTCATTTTCACCGACTGTTTTTCTTCTCTGAATTTATCGTTGAGATAATTTTATTTCAAGGGAAAACAAGAGAACAAGAACCTAAGGTGTCTCGCAACGATTCAAAGGAAAACTTAATTATGCATGACTTTGGAGCACCCCGCCTACGAAAAAAAATATCGCGTACGGCGCTCGTTGAAGAACCAATGCCTACGGACTTTGTAAATTGGACTCGATTTTAACATCAGAAAAATGTCTAGAAAACATCAGTGGAGAAAGAAGATTTCTGCGACTTCATTAACACAGACTAGCTTGAGAATGGAACAGAAATGAAAACGTGATGTGAAAACATCTATTCTTAGACTAATACCATTAATTCTTTTTAAAAAAATAATTATTTAATTTTGTTTAAGTTGATTTAATATATTAATAAATAATTTGTTAAACAACAACGTTAATCAGTTTGTATCTGTTTTAATTCAATTTATTAGATATTATGTTTGTTGAGAACACCGACAAGATTGCCCCAGGATAATGTTTCACATGCATGTGCTTATTGCTGTTTATGACATTCTGGTGCAAAAAAAAAAAGAAAACACCTACAAATTCTACTGCGGACTGGTGAAAAGGCCCACGGGCTAGATAAGAGGCTGGTTCGCTAGTCCGCCTGGCTAGTGGCTAGGTCGAACCCTGCCTTCATTCGACTTTTTAAAAACGCGTGGGTGTAAAGAAAACACGTTTACATCACGGTACAGTCCTTGTCATTTCCGATTAGAAGGGCGACGCAGCTTGAACGCCAACCTGCAGCGTAAGACCACGAGAATGCTCTTCATCACCCCCAATGTGGTGTTCCTGCTGACCTGGCTGCCGTATTGGATCTATTTGGCAGTCTATATGGCGGCTCTCTCGGGCGCACAAATAGACCCCGCTGTATTCGTAGTGTTCCGTTATCTCATAGTACTCGTACTCGGTACTCGGACTCAAGAACTACTCGAGTACTTTTTTGGAGTACTCGTTCTCGTACTCTTTACTTGAATGTCAAAGTACTCGTACTCGAAATGACGGTACTCGTACTCGGGCAGCAAAGTACTCGTACTCGACATGTCAAAATTGTACTCGATCATTAAAGTACTCGTACTCGAATAGCAGTACTCGGGGAAAAAATGTTATAGCTTCACTACCGTGGCCTTATTTGATCGATTCCTTCGGTTGGAAATTGTTGATTGGTAGTTGAGAATCGAGATTTCCTGATTTTCCTCTGTGCAAGTCCGGACAAACACATTTAACAGCTAGCCGTGAGTGGGTCTGTATATCGGTCTGACTGGGCCTGGGCCAATTACGCACAATAACCATTTGCCGTATGGCCGTATTTGGAAATGCGAGTACTCGTACTCGGAAGTACTCGTACTCGTACTCGTACGTACAGTACTCGTACTCGGAGACCCGTTCTTGTACTCGGAGGTACAAATACTTGTGCTCGTACTCGTACTCGGCAACCTAAGAACTCGGCAGTACTCGGTACTCGGAAAAACGTACTCGACTACAACACTGCTAAGCCAAAGAATTCCCCAAAACACTTACAACTGCGCTAATCAGATACCAACACATTACACATTCATAAATTGGCCTAAACATGACGTAAAGATTGCCTCAGGATAATGTTTATATTGTAAAGTTATACATGCAAGTGCAAATTGCCGTTTATGACATTCTGGTGCAAAAAAAGAAATTCTACTGCGGACTAGTGAAAAGGCTCGGACTAGTAAAAAGGGCTAGATAAGAGGCTGGTTCAATAGTCCGGCTGGCTTGTGGCTAGGTCTGGTCGAAGCCTGCCTTCATTCGACTTTTTAAAAACGCGTGGGTGTAAAGGAAACACGTTTTATACATCACGGTACAGTTCTGGTCATTTCCGATTGACATCGCTGTTCCGTATTTCCCCTGACAAACTGTTGGCATGACCTTCAAACCCCTGCTTTTTAGTTTACCATCAGACCCATTTCTGGATTAAACTAGTGCGGGAAGATTGCGGTCTTTCCGAGTCGGTTGTAGTTTCGTTGAAGTGAACATTTTCAATTAAAGCTTACATGAATGACAGCGGATGACAAACATCGCAAGTGCACAGTTGGTTCTCGTAAAATAAAGAGGAGGATAAGTAATCTTCGCGCTGGCAGCTTTTTAAAAAGATGCCATTCCTCTTAAAGGGTGAGTTGACGGTGGCTCCACATCTGATTTTTTTTCTCAGGAATATTTGTTTGTAAAGTTAAATGTATTTATGAAAGGTGGGCACAATTTTTTTTCATGATGCGCATAACGAGTCCCCCATTATAGCATTGGCTGCCACACCCCTAGGAGGGAGATTTAGATATGGCCGGTCCACATAACATTCTCCGCATGAATATAAACGTCTGTGCAGAGTTTCACGCTTTTATGGAAAATTTCACATTCCCCCCCCCATATCCGCTGAACTATTCCACTCACCCGACGCTTTATTATTTTGTTCGATTCCCAAGACTTGACATTTCAAGTCGTTTAGTTGCTGTGCCGTTTATTGCAAGGACGGGGGCCCAAACACTGCCTTAAGCCGTCACAGTGAAAGGACTTCAAATTTCAATTTTTTTTTCAAGTCATATTGCGTTGAATCATTCCCCATTCATATTACAACGACCTTCTTCGGGGTTCGATCTTATTAGTCGTAGCACGCTAGCCAAAAGCGCGTAAAAACAGCGGCGGGCTAGTCCGTCAAAATCGTTATTAGTAGAACGCCTGGCGAGTCAATATTATTAAAAAAAGGCATGGTTATTGTTAGCGTATCCGCGGATTTCCGCGATTATTAATAAGCCGGACTTTGAAAAAAAAACCATCATAATCTGATACTGACGCGCATTCGCTTGTTTTATGCCGTTGCATCGCCGAATCTTGCGCCGAGATCGCTAGCGTATAAATAAAAGGAAGAACATGGACTGGCACTGCGTTTTGTAAACGATATTAAAAGCATTAAAAAGTACAGGACACAGACTGCGCACGTATTCTCCAGCATATCGTCTGGCCTTTTTTTATGATGAAGCGTGTCGCCAAATGGCGCGCTCTATTTACTCTGGAAATTAGCCAGGTATGAATGCAGTACCGCACGTACGGCGCTCGTTGAAGAACCATTGCCTATACGGACTTTGTAAATTGGACTCGATTTTAACATCAGAAAAATGACTAGAAAAATCGGTTGAGAAAGAAGATTTCTGCGACTTATTTCACATAGGCTAGTTCGAGAATGGCACCGAAATGAAAACGTGATCTTTTCTAATACTATTAAAAATAATTAATTAAAATATAATTATTCAATTTTTGAACTTTATTTAAGTTATTAATAAATATTTTAATTACTTTATTAACAACGTTAATCAGTTTGTATCTGTTTTAATTCACTTGATTAGAAATGTTTGTGGAGAACACCGACAAGATTGTCTCAGGATAAAGTTATACAATGTGCACATTGTTGTTTATGACATTCTGGTGCAAAAAACAAACAAACAAACAAACCAAAAACAGAAAACATCTACAAATTTTACTGCGGACTAGCGAAAAGGCCCACGGGCTAGATAAGAGGCTGGTTTGCTAGTCCGCCTGACTAGTGGCTAGGTCAAACCCTGCCTTCATTCGACTTTTTAAAAACGCGAGGGTGAAAAGAAAATGGGTTTACAGCGCGGTACATTTCTTGTCATTTCCGATTGACATCGCTGTTCCGTATTTCCCTGACAAACTGCCTTGGCCTTCAAACCCCTGCTTTTCTTGTTACCATCACACCCATTTCTGGATTAAACTAGTGCGGGAAGATTATGGTCTTTCCGAGTCGGTTGCAGTTTCGTTGAAGTGAACATTTTCAATTAAAGCTTACATGAGTGACAGCGGACGACAAACATCGCAAGTGCACAGTTGGTTTTCGCATAAAAAAGAGGAGGATAAGTAATCTTCGTGCTGGCAGCTTTTTAAAAAGGATGCCATTCCTCTTAAAGGGTGAGTTGACGGTGGCTTTTTTTTCAGGAATATTTGTATGTGAAGTTTAATGTATTTATGAAAGGTGGGCACAATTTTTTTTCACGATGCGCATAATGAGTCCCACATTATAGCAATGACTGCCACACCCCTAGGAGGGAGATTTAGATATGGCCGGTCCAAATAACATTCTCCGCATGAATATAAACGTCTGTGCAAAGTTTCATGCTTTTATGGAAGATTTCACATTCCCCCCCCCCACATATCCGCTGAATTATTCCACTCACCCGACGCTTGATTTGTTCGATTCCCAAGACTTGACATTTCAAGTCGTTTAGTTGCTGTGCCGTTTATTGCAAGGACGGGGGCCCAAACATTGCCTTAAGCCTTCACAGTGAAAGGACTTCAAATTTCAAAATTTCTCAAGTCATATTGCGTTGAATAAAGAAAGGTTTGCGGAAACACCATGTACGAATAATTTCTCAACTTTCCCAGCAGATCACCGACACGGAAGAGGATCTCCGCTCCACCTTGGAACCCGTCCACTTTGACAGGATTTGTTCTCTCACAACTTCTTCTAGCCAGTTTGCGTTCTCCACCACTCGTAAGAAACAACTTAGGAAATTCTACTCAGACCCTCCAGTTCGATCTGTCCCAGGCTCTTTGGTCAACCGAAGATTCTCAAACCTGAGATCCCTCTGCGCCCCATAGTTGCCTCTCGAGGTTCCCCCACCTACAACACAGCCCAACACTTAGCCAAAATCCTCAGACCCTTGGTGGGTCGCACACCACACCATGGGTCCAACTCTTCCCAGTTTGTCAGCATCACCAGAAACCTCACTGTCCAACCCACTGACTTGCTGGTCAGTTTTGACGTCGTCTCACTCTTCACCAATGTTCCCACAGGCGAGGCCTGCAAACTAGCTAAGGAAAGACTTGAACATGATACCACTCTTGCTGAACGCACAGACCTATCCCCCGACCAAATTCATGATCTGTTACTAACATGTATTTTTTCCAGTTGTTTTCAGTGGCAAGGCAAGTTCTACGAGCAAACGGCTGGGACCTCCATGGGTTTTCTTTTATCCTCGGTCCTAGCCGACGTCTTCATGGAGGAGTTCGAGTCTTTCTCCCTCCTCACAGCGGATCTCCGGCCGAGCCTGTGGCTACGCTACGTTGATGACACCTTCGTAGTGTGGCCCCATGGCCCAGACACACTCCAAGACTTCCTCCAGTACCTCAACAAGCAACACACCAGCATCAGCTTCACCATGGAACAAGAACAGTACGGCACCATTCCTTTCCTGGACGTCAAGATCTCCAGGAATCCGGATGGCACCCTGGGACATAGCGTCTACAGGAAACCAACCCACACCGACCGCTATCTCCACCAGCGGTCGTTTCATCACCCATGCATCAAGTCATCGGTCAACCGCACCCAAGTACAGAGAGCTTTTGAGGTCTGCGACCAAGACTACCTCAAGCGAGAACTCAAGCACATCCAGACGTCACAACGGAACGGCTACAAACCCAACTGCATCAAGATCAGCAAACCTGACCAACGGGTCTCCTATACCCAAGGTCCTTCCACTGTATCTCCCTCAGTCACTCTTCCTTACATAGGTCCAGCTTCTCATCATCTGCAACGCATCCACCGACAAGCCGGCGTCAAAGTGTACCACTCATTTGGCAACAAGCTCCAATGCAGTCTACCGCATTCCATGTGAATGCGGCAAAGTCTACATCGGCGAAACCGGTCGGAACCTTCCCACTAGGCTCAAGGAACACAGAGCACATGGACGGCGAGGGGACTTTGACAAATCGGCCATTGTCAAACATTCCCACATCAACGACCACAAAGTTGATTGGGATGCGGCCGAACTCATCGCACCGATCCAGTTCTGGCATCTAAGACGCATAGGCCTACGGGAAGCCATCGAGATCCGCAAGCACAACACAGTTCCGCAAGACATCGGGTTTCACCTCCGCGACATCTGGCTCCCACTTCTCCAGACTGATGGGTCTCCTATACCATAGGTCCTCAGCTACCACCTTAGACTGATGGGTCTCCTATACCCTAGGTCCTCAGCCACCACCTTAGACTGATGGGTCTCCCATACCCTAGGTCCTCCCTCTACTGACACTGCAACCCTACTGTTCTACTTCAGTGGGCACCAAGCTTGCTCTAGGATCCCGGCTTCTTGGCATCCTCACAGGATGCAACTCCACACTTCATTGATTTCGCCTTTTGCTACTTAAGTATTCTCTTTCTTAGAGTTTAGGCACTCTCCTGAAGACGGTCAGAGCATACTGACCGGAACGTCGAGTTTATACCTCTGGTTCTTTTCAGAACCATTCTCTTAGTTGAGAAATTATTCGTACATGGTGTTTCCGCAAACCTTTCTTTATTTAGTATCTCCACCATGCAAAGCCTCAAATCTTACATATTGCGTTGAATCATTCCCCATTCATAATACAACGACCTTCTTCGGGGCTCGATCTTATTAGTCGTAGCACGCTAGCCAAAAGCGAGTAAAAACAGCGGCGGGCTAGTACGTTAAAATCGTTATTAGTAGAACGCCTGGCGAGTCAATATTATTAAAATAAGGCATGGTTATTGTTAGCGAATCCGCGGGTTTCCGCGATTATTAATAAGCCGGACTTTGAAAAAAAATAACCACAATAATCTGATACTGACGCGCATTCGCTTGTTTCATGCCGTTGCATCGCCGAATCTTGCGCCGAGATCGCTAGCGTATAAATAAAAGGAAGAACATGGACTGGCACTGCGTTTTGTAAAGGTACATATTAAAAGCATTAAAAAGTACAGGACACAGACTGCGCACGTATTCTCCAGCATATCGTCTGGCCTTTTTTTTTTTATGAATAAGCGTGTCGCCAAATGGTGCGCTCTATTTACTCTGGAAATTAGCCAGGCATGAATGCAGTACCGCACGTACGGCGCTCGTTGAAGAACCATTGCCTAGGGACTTTGTAAATTGGACTCGATTTTTACATCAGACAAATGTCAAGAAAACATCAGTGGAGAAAGAAGATTCTGCGGCTTATTTCACATAGACTAGCTTGAGAATGGCAGAAAACATCTATTATAATACCATTAATTTTTGTTAAATAATGATAATTATTTTTTTTAAGTTGATTTAATATATTAAAATAATTTGTTTACCAACAACGTTATTCAGTTTTTATCTGTTTTGTTTTTATCTGTTTTGATTCAATTTATTAGATATGTTTGTTGAGAACACCGACAAGATTGCCTCAGGATAAAGTTATACATGCATGTGCACATTGCTGTTTAGGACATTCTGGTGAAAAAAAGAAAAAAAGAAAACACCTACAAATTCTAATGCTGACAAGCGATAAGGTCCACGGGCTAGATAAGAGGCTGGTTCACTAGTCCGGCTGTCTAGTGGCTAGGTCGAACCCTGCCTTCATTCGACTTTTTAAAAACGCGTGGGTGTAAAGGAAACACGTTTACAGCACGGTACAGTTCTTGTCATTTCCGATTGACATCGCTGTTCCGTAATTTCCCTGACAAACTGTTGGCATGACCTTCAAACCCCCTGCTTTTTAGTTTGCCATCAGACCCATTTCTGTATTAAACTAGTGCGGGAAGATTACGGTCTTTCCGAGTCGGTTGGTACATAGTTTTGTTGAAGTGAACATTTTCAATTAAAGCTTACATGAATGACAGCGGACAAACATCGCATTTGCACAGTTGGTTCTCGTAAAATAAAGAGGAGGATAAGTAATCTTTGCGCTGGCAGCTTTTACGTGATGTGCATTAAGTACAAAAACACTCAGAAAGGATCAAATGGCGACACAATTCTTTAACTGAATTTGCGTGAATTTGCAGGGAGGAAATTACGTGTAAATGTCAAAAGCCGCTCCGTGACGGCGCTTAATTTGCTGCAAATTTACTTCCAGTACGAATAAGGCGCGTATGAAACACAAAACTAGGCGGGTCGACCACTAATTAGGCACGTGAATCCGCGCTGTTTCCAGTGCTGAAGCAAAAGACAACAGATTAAGGGTATATATATTTTCTGCGGGAGTCGCGGAGACACACATAGAAATGGAGACTCTTGCACCTAATAGCAACGGTACTGATACGATTGATGCGGAGAATGATTCCGTGGACAATGGTGATACTTTCATGATATTTGAGGTGGTGTGCAAGTTCGCCATGATTTTTTTGGGTGTTCCCGGTAACTGCCTCATCTTACGTGTGTATCACACCAAGCGTCGCCGGACGACCACCCACATCTTCATCATGGCGCTGGCCTGGGCCGATCTCTTGGCATGCTTACTGTCAATACTCACGGCGGCTTCGCGGATCATGATGCTGGCCAGGACACCGATGCCTGGAGAGGTGAACAACGCGATCGTCTACATCAAAGCCGTTCCGCTTACCGTTTCGCTTTTTATCACGGTCATGATCGCCATCGATCGTTACGACTGCACGTGCCGATCTCTTCGACGCGTCCTAAACCAGAGGCGGGCCAAGATGGCAGTACTTTGTTCCCTGGTCTTCTCCGTCTTAATTAGCATCCCTTTTTTCTTGGGCTATATATATCCCAACAGCTTGGTGATCAAGAAAACGGGGGTTGCAACCCAATACCTAACTTTCTTCATGGCGGTCAGCTCAGTGACATTTTGTTATGGCAACGTGTACTGGAAAATCAGCCAACACGTTCGAGTTGGAGTGAGCGACAACGGCACCAAAATCGGTTCGAGAAATGCGGCCACAAAGGCGCCTCCTTCGAACAGTACCAGCGAAACCATGTCCGCAGCGATTGTTCTCCGGACACAGACGGTAAATGTAGCCGACCGTAGTCCGCTAGGAGAGAGCAGCGGTGGAGCGGCCCCATCAACGGCACCGGCACTTGACGCCTGGCAACCCCGAGAGACCGCGGACGCAGCAGACACGCCTCGTCGAGTACCACCAGGGCGTCAATTGGAAGGGGGACGCAGCTTGAACGCCAACCTGCAGCGTAAGACCACGAGAATGCTCTTCATCACCAGTGTGGTGTTCCTGCTGACCTGGCTGCCGTATTGGATCTATTTGGCAGTATATATGGCGGCTCTGTCGGGCGCACAGATAGACCCCGCGGTATACGAAGTGTTCAGTTACCTCAGGTACACAGTGTATGTCAATAACGTCGTTAACCCGTTCATTTACGGCCTCGCTAACAGCCGATTCCGAAAAGATTGTCTGGACGTAATTCGCAAGCTGAAACGTTGTTGAGTTTTGTCTAACTTTGAGGATTGTATTATATTATCCGCATGGTAATGTAGAGCAGTGTATGTGAATGACTTTCAAATTTCAATTTTTGTCGAACATTTACTGAGACAAAAAATCCCCCAACACATAAAACTGCGCTTATCATATATCAACAAATACGTTCACAAATTGGCCTAGATTATCACGCAGCAAAACCCCGCATTCTACCAATTGCATTTACCTGATGCACACTTAACGCCTAAAATGGCTTTATATACTTGGCATTACGTCTGGTATCAAATGTAACAATTGTAAGCTTCGATTTTATAACTTCAAAATTCATTTTACTGAAAACAAGTACTGCAGGCATTTTGCCAGTAAAAAAAAACCAACAACGCAATTTTACATTCGGAAACACCAAGCAATTGCGAATTATAGTCATAGCGTCAACGAAATAATATCCATTTAAGCAACGTGATCAGATTCGATTATTCAGATAAAATGGCAGATTCTTTAGGTCCTGGAACCAGACGAGTACCGCGCACCCTTCCCAATGCGCCCATGCACCAAAATTATTGGGGGAAAATGTGAATATACTATTAAAACACAACTATTTCGTACCTTAATTCCGTCCAAGCATTAACAAACAACAATTACTGCTGCTTGTAATATAGCGTCACGCTTCATTTCAATGGGGAACAATGACTTGTATATTTTTGCCATTCAATTTGACGACAAACGGAGCATAGCACAAATAAAGTTTTTTTATGTCTTAAATTTGAATTGGGTTGGAATACCAAAGAAGTGTGGCTCGCGACAAGATTGAACTGCCCAGAGATCGTAACTTAATTGTCGATTGATTGAAGACGCGACCGACCTCATTTGGGCAGAAACGCAGGAGTCACGGCTGAACTTCGCACACTGAGCACGAAAGCCCAAAGACTACGAATTCAGTTGTAGGTTGGTATGGCACACGAATGAATAGCTGCACGTATTTTTGTGGAGATTATTTTCAGCCGAATAGATATCTTTGTCACAACCGAAAACATTGAATCTGTTTGACCAATTTCACAAATGGATGGCTCATGGCTTGCAAACATTAACCAGGCAAGCACAACAGCGCTGCTTGTGTTCAGTGTGTCAGTTACTGTCCTGGGTGTACCCGGTAACTGCCTCATCCTCGGAGTTTACTGGAGAAAATCACGCAAGTCTAGCACCAATATCCTCATCATGGCACTCTCTATAGCAGATTTAATTGTCTGCCTGCTTCGTCCGTACGACGTAGCACGATTTTCGCTGCGTCTCGTCGCCTTCACTGACGTAACACAACTCACATTCTTCGGTTATTTCAAATGTCTCGACTACACGAGTCTAGCAATTTCTATCATTATCACGGGTGTAATCGCTCTGGATCGCTACGACTGTGTTTGTCGGCCAACCCGCCGCGTGTTCAACTCCAGTCGCACCTTGAAAGCCCTGTTC